CGTCAGGATAATCCGACGAACAAGTCACAAAAGCGGAACAGGCCAGATTGGCTAGTGCTATAGTACCTGAGTACGTGGACTACAGTACAATAGTACAGCCTGGGATGCTGTGCTGCACAGTAGTAGTACCGTGCCCTGCCCTTTGATTAATTGTGTGGGTCAGCCCAGCTATGGGTCGGCATAGCTCAGATTTCGACCTCCGTCCCGTCCTGGCAGGTCGGCATCCCCAAGTTTCAGCTCGTGCAGCCCACCCACATCGAGCAGATATGGGCGCAACCTCTTGTTCGTCCTGTTCAGTAGCATGGCAGGTGATGATTTTCAATTTGCCCCCACTCCCAGAAGCCAAGGCGACAAATAGAGAGGCGCGGGAGAGAGACATGCTTGAGCCGTCGCATCGCATAGCATAGCATAGCATTTCAGTTCTGATTCGCATCGCGCCACATCCGCATGCCTGGTGCTTGTCACATCCGACGGGTCAAGCTTGTCGGAGAAAGAAGAAAAAAGGAAAGACGAAAAAAGGGGGAATGGTGGAAGGTGGCTCTCAACCCCCACAGAATCGGGTCACAGGGTTCGCTTGATTGCTGGTGTAGCTCCGTGTCGCCGTTGTCGACCGGTCAAGTTGGGGCAGGTGATTCTGTCAACCCTACCTTCCGATCGCGAAAGGGCTGAGGCGAGACATACCTGCCTCTCTCTCTCTCTCTCTCTCGCAGCCCAGCACCAAGATCACAGTGCAAGCCAAGCCATCACATGCCTTTTTGTTAGTCGGACATCTCGGCGTAGGTTGCACGCAGCGCTGTCAGAATGAGATCACTTCAGGCGGATGAAGTTGTCAGGTGTTCCTGCACTGAGGGCGTCGGGTGGGGTTAGAGAAAGAAGAAGAAATATTCCTTCGATCTAAAACGCGCCGTCAGGAGCACAGAAAAGAAGAAGAAGAAGAAGAATCGTTCCTTGCCCCACTCGTTCGCTCAAGGCTTGATACGAGATGACGTACAGCGCTGCCATACCCTGTCAACCTCCTGCCGTGCCGTAAGCTCTGAGATGCCGTTGGCGCATTGTGCAGTGCTACACCACAATGGTCGAGGGTCGAGGGCAGACGTCAAAATAGAGGGGGGGTCGGGGGAACTGAGCGCGTGGATCCCTGCGGCGTCTTGGAACGGGGCTGCTGGATCGACGAACAATGACAATGAATACGATATTCCCTCAAACGTCAATGCGACGCTCGGACAAACGCAAGGAAACAAGCTCACTCACGAACCCGCAAGCCTCTTTTTCGTTGTCTGTGAAACCCCGGACGACTCCGGCTGGATCGGTGAGATGACAGCGGGAGCGGGTAAGCTGGACGAGTCGGCTACGTAGACGCGAGGCGAATCGTACCGGAGAGGCGACAGGAGATAGACCAGGCAAGCGCTTGCGCGTGCTTGCGCGTGCTCGTCGTGAAAATCAACACCGGGCAAGGCAGGGGCGAGGCGAGATACGATAGATAAAGGAGCTGTCCGGAAGCAGAGCCGAGCTCACACGCTCCGAGGGCGGTTGCAGTACGTGCGTCTCGGTATGTCTTTGTATGCTTCGGGCTTCTTTCGAGGCTCGCATGAGCCACATATGCAATTGCTGTAGCAGGCGGATAGATACCGTACGCCGGACTTCGCGATGCTTTTGCACTCGACGATGGACGCAAATGGGCGAGTCGACTCGCAGCGGCCTAGTTTGTAATTCTCGACGAAGACAGCACATGGCGCAACACGTCGAGTACAGTGCTACCGCACTGCTGCTATCGCTACTATGTTGCTCACATGCATTTCACCCGCAGCCGATCGCCGATGGCTGATGGCTGATGGCTGATGGCGCCACGCCGAGCCAAACGGTCAATGGCCGGCCTAACGTCCACCGCCGCTGATCAGGGACACCGAGAAGGAGAAAGAGGCCGGGGAAGCCGAAAAAAGGTTGCCTATGCTCGCTGTGTCCGTCATGCGAGATTGCCGACATCAGGTGCTAGCACTGTAGCATGCCAGCTTCTCCGAGTCTGTGAGAAGACGCAAGCCCTCCCCGGCAATCGGCAATCCAGGGGAGACTTGCAAGTGTGGAATTTGGTTTTGCGATGCGACACGGTACTGTACTGTACTCTGTACTCTGCACCGTAGCACAAGCTCGACGCGGCAACCGGGAAACAAAGCCAAGCCAAGCCAAGCAGGACGCGGGGACAGATTGATTGCAGAGTTGAGCCGGACCGGCAAGGTTTGGGCTGCACAAAACGAGGCACGAAAAGAGGAAAAGAAAAGTTGGGGTAAGATTATTATTAATCTGGTGACTTTTTTTCTGACCGAGGGGGTGGGACTATTAATTGGATTTCTCTTTTGCTGAGCTGAGACACCAGCAGCACGCGGCGACCAGGCTGTGGAAAAGCAGATGTGGCACGGCAAAGCACGGCCGGTGTTGCCGTACTGCTACTGTACTGCAGTGGTTGTGTCGCTTGGACTTTGTCGGTCACTTGCGACGATCGGCTACGCGTCCGACAGGCAACAACCGGCAACAAGGCCCTGCATCTGCCCTCTCCGATGTACACACATGTCAGGCCACTGCTCCACTCGATTGACACCGTCATTCACCCCCCTTTTCAGCGTCGCACAACCAGTACACAAGGCCAAAATATTCTGATCTGGTCTGTACCATACAACACGACGCAACGGTGACGGCCATGTCATAATCTCACCCCCTGGCTGCGACAGTCCCAGATCCGATGAGCAGCGCTTGCACTGTACCTCAGTGCGTTCGTAGCGTAGCTGTGTGACTTGCGTGATTTTTGGGCATATGCATGAAATTTGATGCGTGTGCGTGCTCGGGCTTTTATGATGGCGGTGGAAAAAGGCGGACTCCGGCATGTACTGCTGGATTGGGGCCTTGTGATCTGCAACGTGAGATGGCAGGCCTCGACCCATTGTATAGTTGTACATACTGAAGGTAATGCAATGCAACACGATGTTGCCGAATTTGGAAGCGTCACTGCAACGGACGTGGACGTGGACGTGGCCGTAGCCTACCTCACTCTATCTATCACTCTTTCTCTCTCTCTTGCGGTCACTTGCAAAGTCATCCCATGTATTGTTATACCGCACTGTACTGTACCACATGCCGGCGTCTTGCACCAGATTTCAACCCCAGCTCTCACGTATTGTTCATTGATGTGTGAATGGCTCGGACGTTCGTCATTTTATCGCGTGGATCGAGGTGCGACGTGCTGTGCGCGCAGCCGACGTACACTTCTGTACTATGCATGCACATTTCTTGATCAACACTACTGTATCACGAATGCTGTGCTGCTGCGGCCATTCCCGTGCTGAACCTCGCGCCGATTCTGCTCTGCTCCCTGCCGTGCGTTGCTATTCTCGGATGCGAGCATGTGCTGCTCCCTCTCTCTCGCATGTAATCCTACACACACACACACGAGCATACGTTGCACATAGCCACAACAAAGCACGACTACATGCACAGTAGTATGTAGCTCTCCAAGACGGGAAGACGAGGCGCGAGGCCGACACCGTCCACGTCCCGCCCTGCGCTCGGTGAGCTCGGCAGCCTCGGTGTCATTTCGGTCAAACTCCTGGTTGCCTGTCCCCCTCTTGTCCCACTCTCCCGTTCCCCGGACCATTGCCTCCATTCTACTCATGTTTGACGCTGTACCTGTTTTATCCGCCAAGACTCCGGTTCGCTTGTCCACCGGATCCTACGCCTTGGCTCGGCCTCCGTCTTCCCTTGTTGGGCCCCGCTCTCTCCCTTCCCCCCTTCTCTCCACCCAGAGTTGGTCTTGGCTTGCTTTTCAACACCTCGCTTACACAAGCTGACAAGATCAGAGCCGTCAAAAAGTATGTCTGTGTTAGAGAGAGGGGTCTTCGAATCTATGAGCATTTAGATCCAGATCGGAGAATAAAATGTCTTCTGAAGTCCGTCGACATCTCATCCCGCTTCTACAGCCCAGAACAGTACAGTCATCAGCTCGCGGCTGAGGGTGAAGAGTACGGCGACCAACGCTCGACTTTCGACGTTCGACGATCGACGCGCACTACAGAACACTCCACGCTACGGCGACTAGAAAAGGAAACAAAGAAAAAGGACTGCCATGCTGTGTGTTCTTCCCTTTTGTGCTCCGCTCGTGTTCGATGCTCATGCCAGCGGTGAGTGTAATCAATCCATTGACTCTCATCCCTTCGACGCACACTACTGTATTCCTTTTCAAGGAAAATGTGCGTGAGAACCCTCATGGTAGAGTCGTCGGTCACGCGGCAAGTCGACGTCAATATTACACCGTCACTGTCGTTCACTTTCATGCCTGTGCTGTATCAAGGTCACGAATCCTACTCTGCCTCATTCAGCAGGAGGAAAAAATGTCATCAATGCAGATTCGAAGAATGTGACGATCCTTTCCTTTCCTCGAGGGGCGTGCAAACACGCGTCATAAATCGATGTGATTATTGTGATGTCCAGAGAGCAGAGAGTCTGAGGCTTGCTTGACCCTACTCATCGTAATGCGCGGGTCTACCGCCTTTCACCCCTTTTGCTTCGTGACCAGTTGCATCGCATGGTCCCAGCTGTCATTGTTCCTCTCGCAGTCCAGATGCATCAAAGACCACATGTCAATTCACACAGCCACGCCACAGGGGGAAGACCCATTCCGTTCCGGCATCTGCGTCAGATGTTCTGTATCGAGGATCATTATATTGTCTTTGCGCTGGAGGTCCGGGGTCTGGCAGTCAACATCGAAGTCAGTAACAAGTCTAACATTTTTAGTTATCTCGATTTTGTAGTTTTCTCTATCCCGATTCGTCTGCCGCTCCGATTTTCTGACTCGTCTCGTCGCCATCATCACGACTTTGATACCAACCCTGACTCTCATTGCGGGTCGTCATTGCCATCTGTGATGTTTGATATCTAGCACTGGTAGCACAACAGTCGCAGTCTCAAGGGAACGCGATTCATATCCTGCCCAAATCTTTGATACGAACAAGGAGGCGTTGGTCGTATAATGGTCATTATTCTTGCCTTCCACAACACCGGTATGATCTTGCGATCTGTCGAGTACAGACGGATCAATGGATCCTGGTAGGGCGTAAGTGAGCAAGAGACAGGGGTTCGATTCCCCTCCAACGCATCTCGCATCTGGTTTCCTTTTTTTTGGCTGCTTTTCGTCATAACTAGATGATAACGTGATGAGGAAAGAGACAAGAAGAGGTCAATGCACTGAAATGGAGTCGGTGGGACCGTGCATCGAGTCTGAAGAAGGAAGCGGCCGAGAAAGCACAGGACAAAGGTTGCAGACGCAGCATACACTTTCTTTGAACTGCAGAGCGCACAGCTGTACCCTTCAGATGGTGCAACACATTCGAGGCAAAGCACGAACTTCAATGGTGACATGCTGTCGATATTAGACCTGCGCAAGAGCTTACGATGCGATTGAAAGACTGTTGAAAGACTAGACAGGTGTCAAATGGCAGAAAGGGGCATCTCAGAATCGTTGCGTTCCCTCGTAGCGCTGAAAGATTTCCTCCGAGGCAGCAAACATCTCTGATGCCATTCGATGGACCTCTGTGCCGGGGCGATTGTAGATGAGGGAATTGGCAAACATGAGAGCGAGGGCCTTGCGGAGCTGTGTGCCGGTGGAGATGGAGCCTTCCTTGACTTTGGCACGGATTGTTTTGATGTCGAGAGGCTGGCGAATGAGCTGGTAGTAGTCGGGTGCATCCTGCTCCTTGATGGGCGCGTGGAAGAGATTGCCATGCGTGTGGTTCGAGACTTCGGTCAGAAGCATCAGCAGCACCTGGGTCTGCTTGCGCTTCTGCGCCTTTTCTCGCTCGCCCATCACGGCCGCAGCGGGCGTAGACGACGCTGCAGCTTCCTCCTTGATCGGCGTAGGCGTCTCTGTCGCCGCCGAACGAGATCCCCGACGCAGTCGCGACGAAGCTCCTGCACCCGACGCGGACCCGTACCGATTGCGAATTGGAGTGGCTCGTGATCCCCGTGTCGCTGGCTTGCTGTCTTCCTCGCCTTCTTCTTCTTGCTCCTCTCCTTCGCCTTCTGCTTCTGCAGCCTTTTCCGCTTCCTTCTCCTTGTCACCAGCTTCTGCAGGCGTATCTTCTTCGGCAGCTGGCCTGGACAAAGCGTCTCCTTCTGTCTTCGTCTCAGCAGGCGTTTCATCTGGCGATGCAGCGTCGGCTTTTTTGGAGGCTTTCGTGGCATCTGTCTGCGAGTCTTTGTCAGCAGCCTCGGTCTCGTCTGTGCGCGTCTGACTGCGTCGTCTTGTCTGCTGGACAGCCTTGATCTGTTCCTCTGCCTCCTCTTCCTCTTCGTCTTCCTCCTCTTCGTCGTCTTCGTCGTCCTCATCGTCCTCGTCCTGATCTTCCTTGTCTCCGTCTTCATCCATCTTGCCGTCCGCCTGTTCGGCGGCGACTGCGGAGGAATCGGGTGGAGCAGCTGACGCATGAATCTGCTTTGAAGCCGCACTTGCTTCGAGACGGGGCGTAGCGCCCACTACGGCCTCGGCCTCATCCGCGCTGTCCATGGCCACATCATCATCGCTGATATCTGCATCTGCAGCAGGTTGCGCTGGTTCTGGCCGACTCTTTTTTGTCGGTGATGCACCATCGGCGCCTGTTGTCGATGTCGAGCTGGGTGTTTCCACCTTGGACGCCGCAGAGGCCACAGAGGCCACGGAGGCAGCGTCCTTCTCTTCCTCGTCGTCACGCTTGCGTTTGTTGATGGCAGATGTGGCAGTAGTGGTAGCAGTACTCGGTGGCGCAGGTGTGACGACAGGCGCTGGTACAGCATTGAATGTTGCTGCAGCAGTAGAAACAGGGGCGGCTTTCTCTGCAGACGCCGCTGCGACTTGCGGCGTGGCGATGGTAGCAGGTTGTGTGGGCGCCTTGGCCGGAGCATTTGATACCGGCGTTGGTTTTGCCTCTTGCTTCTTCTCTGCTTCTGCTGCGGTTTCAGCTACGGTCGGCTCTTTCTCCTTCACAACGACATCGGCTGGCGGTGCCACGTTCTTTGGCGCTTCAGGAGCGTTCGCTGATGACGCAGCCTGATCAGTCGTTTCCTGTGCCGGCTTGGCCTTGGCAACATCCTTGTCCTTGCTCTTGTCTGACTCGACAGTGGCTGGCGGATTTTTGGAGTCAGCCGCGACTGCATCACCCTCGGCATTGGCAGTCAATTCGAGCGTGGTCTCGGTGTCGATGACCTTGTCGGCCGCCGACTGGACCTGGCTCTCGAGATCTACTGCCGCCGGAGCAGCTTCGTTCTGAAGGGCCTGCACAGCCGCTTCTGCAGCTGCGGACGCAACAGCCTGTTCGGCTTCCTCGGTAGTCATGTTGATACCGTCAGAAGGCGGCTGGTCGCCCACTATGACAGCCGAATCTTTTGGTTCTGCCGTGGTGGTTGCTGACACCGTCGTTGAGCTTGTCGAGGCTGGGATCGAAGTTGGAGCTGTGGAGGACAATACCGCAGGAACAGACGTAGCAGGAGTGACTGGAGCTGCTGACGCCGCGGTTGCAGAGGGAGCAGACGTGGACGGTAAAGCTGTGGCGGTGGGAGCGAGAATCGGTCCTGTTGATGGCGCGGCGGTGGTGGTAGTCGGAGCAGGCAGAGTTATGGAAGGCGTGCTGGGCAGCGACTGGATGGGAGCGGGGCCAGACTTGGTGGGCGAGGAAAGGTCGATGCTGGTGCGACGATCGCCAACCTTCTTGCTCTTGTTGGAAGCAGACGATGGCGCAGAGTCTCCCTTCTTGTTGGCACTGTTGGGACCAGAGCCGCTGCCGGTGAGATCGGTGCCTGGAGTGGTGACGGTGCTCTCGCCGCGTGGTCTGCCCTTGACCTTGCTGCCCTTGGGGGTGACGATGGATCCGCCGGGCGTTGTGGTGCCAGTTGGGATGGCGGTGCCGCCTGGCGTGGCAGGTGGTAGTGGTGGGCCCTTTGCCAAGTTTTCCATCTCGATGCGCAGCTCCATCTCGAGTCGAGCATCGGCCTGGCCCGACTTGATCTCGTCGATCTCCTTGACTAGAGCCTTGAACTGCTGTTCCTTTTCCCGGATCTGCTCCTTGAGCTCCTCCATGCGCTCGGCATACAGCAGCTGCGCAAGTGCAAGCTGCGATCTTCGGTCCATCCGCGGCTGTAGTCCCCTTGCCTCCTTTGGCTTTGGTGTCTGTGGGTTGGAGCTGTCGGGGCCTGACTCTTCTTTGCTGAGCACAAGCCCGCGCTGTCGCATGAGTGCGGTCCACGCCCGCTCGCACTCGCGTGTGCCAAAGATGCGGCCGAGCGTGAGCCCTGCGTTGGCAGCTTGTTCGAGTCTCGACTGCTGGCGGATAAGTGGATGTGCAAGTAGGAGCGCAGAGACGCGACCCCAGTCTGGCGGCGAGGTGCCGATCTCGTTGACGGCCTGCGCCAGCAGCAGCTTGTCGCGTATCGACAGCTTGGCTAGAGCCGAAGGCTGGGGCGCATATGGCGATGGAATCACGGGCACGGGAGCCATGGCGATCATGCGTCAATTGGCCGGAACCGCCGACTACGGAGTGCCGCTCCTAATACTGTCGACCCGGGCTTCAGACTCGCGACGTGGTTGTGTGTCGACGGTGCGCGAAATACACTGCAGCTGGACGAACAGAGTCAAAAGCCACCGAGAAAGCCTGAAGAGGTTGATGAGTAGCAATATTGGAGTACGAGGCTGCGTCGGGTGACCCGATTGCGACTTGGTCGTTGCCAAGCCAAGCTAGTGCCGAGTCGAAGTGAAGATCGGCTGCCTCCGATTCGCGGATGGGACAAACCCGGCAAGCAATGAAATGAGTCGAGACGAGAGCGGGCGTTGCAGATTTTAGCGGCAGGACGAGAATGAGTAGGATGAAGAACGTGTAGGGTGACGGGTGACAGAGCACAAAGAGTTGGGCAACTGGGTGTGGATGTGGATGAGGATATAGATGTAGATGCGAGGAGTGCATCAGGGACTCGCGAAGCCTCGAGTGTTGGAAAAAGCCTTGCCCGTGTTCCGTGAATGATGAACGAGCGAGCGGCCGTCGCGTGGGAAATCGGACTGCAAGCCACTGCTGCGCCGAGCCCCGATCAGAAATTGGAGCTGGTGGGGCCAAGTGCCTAAAGTGCAGTCTTTCGGCATTCCCGATCTGGAAACGACGGTGCTAAGCCGAAGAACACATCCTCGAGCCTAGCTTTGGCGTAAAGCGCCAGCACCCCGCAAGGTTGAAAAGCGTTTGGACCGACTCAACAAAAGGCAGAGTGTTCAATAAGGTTGGCTTGGACGCACCGGACTGGCAATGATAATCAGCAAAAGAAGAAGAAGAAGAAGAAGAACCAGACGCCAACCCCCACCTTTGTCGTCAAAAAGCAAGCGGTCGTGAGCTGTCGACGTGCAGAACCAACTTTTATGGTACAGTGGCAACAACAGCTATTGTCCAGCTCATCTCCAGTAGTCGAGCCAGCTCACCAGCTTCAACGTTGCAACACGTACTTCCTTGTGTTCTCCCCATCAACATCTTTTGCCTTCAGCCTTCCACACCTCACATTTGCGCGCGTTCTTCTCCATCTGCTTGTTTGCATCTCGTCACGGTCGCCTCTCATCCAATATTACGGAACCCCGCGTCCCGTCTAGTCACCGCATACCCGACAACGGCTATTTCTTCCCCTCGTAGCTTTCGTCGTCGCTGCTTTCCCACCCAACGCACCCCAGTCTACATGGTCGTCGGCTGAAACATCGCATATCGGCATCGTCAAACTATATTCGTGGCATATAATCGTCCGAGACAGAATATCGTCTAGAGCAGCATGGCAGCGTCGTCATCCAAAGTGCCCATGGGCGACCACGGCGAGGCATCGGCGTCGCAATCTACGTCGAAAACCACCTCCACCGCAGCTGCAGCAGACAACAGCGGACCTATCGACATCTACGAGCAGAAGGACGAGGCATACTTTGGATACTATTCTATGCTCTCGCATCAGGCCCAGATGCTGCAAGACGGCGTGCGGACCGCAGCATACCAGCGCGCGATTATCGACAATGCCCAAGACTTTCAGGACAAGGTCGTGATGGACGTGGGGGCAGGCAACGGCATTCTTAGCTTCTTTGCTGCTCAGGCAGGTGCTTCTAAAGTCTAT